CACAGGTCACGTGATCAAAAAAATTGCTTGCACTCTTGTGCGCATTAAAGTCGCACTCCTGTGACTATCGCTAGGAAGGGGGGAGCCTTAAATAGAAAGGGGGTAGAGGCTCCCCCCTTCCTAGCGATAGTCACAGGAGTGCGAATTTAATGCGCACAAGAGTGCAAGCAATTTTTTTGATCACGTGACCTGTGCGGAGCCAATTGTTTTCAAATCGAGGTTAATACACCTCTTGTCTTTTCCGAGGCTAATCTATGTACCCTGCCGTAGGGCCACTGGCAAGCCCGCGTAGCGGGCTTCGTAGGGGAGCTAGTCTTCCGTTAATTGAAAGTTGCTTCAAAACATTTGCAAGCCCAGGTCTATTCGTGTTCTTCGTTTAAATATTTTAATGGTTTACCACCTAAGTAAGCCCCCCTTGCATAAGCCCCCCTCGAATTAGCCCCCTGGGGGCTTATTTATTTTTGATATTTTTGGATGGGGGCTTATTCGAGGGGGGGGGCTTATACGAGAGGAGGGGCTTATAAAATTATTGTAGACATTAAAAAGAAATTATTAAAAGATCTCGTTTATTTTAGTAGGAATTTCTTTATGAGCTTTTAATTAATTATTACCAAAAGTATGAGTTTTTGTGGCAATTCAAGAAAATGCCAAAGGAAACCTCAGATGGCAAAAATTCATCAAAATAAGGGGGTCGGTCCAATTCTAGAATTAACGGTAGCAGTGGGGGCTTATTGAAATTTTTAGTTCTAGGGTGGGGGCTTACTCGAGTAGGGTTATTTCGCGGATTTACGGTATTTGTAAATCTTGCCGCGGCTATCGCGTGCGCGCGTAGCGGGGCTCTTAGGGGAGCTAGTCTCCCGTTCACTGAAATGTGCATACAGATTTAATGTATTACGGTTGCAATATCGAGGCAAGTTTGAAACTTGCTTAAATACATTTTGCGAGCCCCGGTCTATTCGCTGTTCTCGTTTATGTATTTTCACGGGTTACCCCCTCAAGCTCTACTGTTTTTTCTGATTTCAATGATTAAGTTTTTTATCACTACATTTCTTTTAGCCCTTGTGGGGCTCGTTTAATATTGGTTACATGTGGGTATGCTCGAAAATGCGGCCAAGCTTTTCGCAAAAGAAAAGAGTTTTCGTGCAGAATTTTTCTTATGAGTCTTTATTTGATTACCCTTGCCACCCCTCCGTACTTTTCAACTGGCGTCGGAGCATAGATATCGCTGCTGAAGAGAGAGAGAGAAAAATGTTTTGAAAACTTTCTGAAAAGATATGAATGAGCCCTATAAAACTTCTGAACTAATTGCGAAAGCCTGTTGAAAAACGTTGACAAAGGTTCTCCCATAGAATTTCCATAAATGAGCAGCGATGGACAATGGCAACGCGATAAGAAAAAATATTATATTGCGGATTGCGGAAAGCTGTTGTAAAACGTTGACAAAGGGTTCTTCCATAAAATCTATACGAATGAGAAGCGATGTACAATGGCAACGCGATAACGAAGAAAAATGTTATATATCGAAAAAACCAAGGCAGAAATCGAAAAACGAAGCTCGCCATGTAATATTAGAACCCCTAGTGGACCAACCCGTAAAAATTGAGCAAAATAGGACCAGCGGCGTGAGAGGAGATACTGCTCGCAAAACAATGGCGATCAGCAGCAATATCAGCGTTTTTAGCTCATTTGCATATTCACATATTAGTTATGGTAGACTCCCCTACGAAGCCCGCTACGCGGGCTTGCCAGTGACCCTACGGTCGAGTACATAGATTAGTCTCGGAAAAGACAAGAATTTTCTTAAAACCCCTTGTGAATGATAGTAAAATTAGCCTCGGCAAAGACAAGAATTCTTTCGAAACCCCCAATGAGTATGCAGATTAGCCTCGGAAAAGACAAGAGGTGTATCAACCTCGATTTGAAAAAAATTGGCTCCGCATAGGTCACGTGATAAAAAAATTACTCGCACTCCTGTGACTATCGCTAGTCAGGGGGTCGCCTGAAATAGAGAAGGGGTAGAAGGCTCCCCCCTTCCTAGCGATAGTCACAGGAGTGCGAGTAATTTTTTTATCACGTGACCTATGCGGAGCCAATTTTTTTCAAATCGAGGTTGATACACCTCTTGTCTTTTCCGAGGCTAATCTGCATACTCATTGGGGGTTTCGAAAGAATTCTTGTCTTTGCCGAGGCTAATTTTACTATCATTCACAAGGGGTTTTAAGAAAATTCTTGTCTTTTCCGAGGCTAATCTATGTACTCGACCGTAGGGTCACTGGCAAGCCCGCGTAGCGGGCTTCGTAGGGGAGCTAGTCTTCCGTTAATTGAAAGTTGCTTCAAAACATTTGCAGCCCAGGTCTATTCGTGTTCCTCGTTTAAATATTTTAATGTGTTACCCCCTAAGTCTCCTGTTTTAATTTTCCATAAAATTTCATGTTAAGACTTCCCAACCTTACTTATCTGTTTACTCCTCTGACAAATCAAATTAAAGTTGAATCTATCTTGAAAATCAGAATAAAAAAACAATGTCCTCCTACATTCTTTCAATTTAATAAGGAATGCAAGCAAAAAGTGTAATATCATACAGCAAGCAGGCAAGGACACTTTAAACGTGACAAAAGGCAAACATAATTAATCTAATCCATAGTCACGCCTACTGTGAGTAGCATATACTATTGGCAAGAGCAGGAAATAATTGCTCGAGGACAAAGTATTATTTACTTGCAGCAACAACCCTATTGAGATAAGAGCTATTTTCGTGGAGGAAGATAATGCCTTATTACCTTGATTGTAATTCAGTAAATCCTTTTAGAAAAGTAAACCCAAACTTAATTACTTGCTGGCTCCAGATACCCATACTTGCGAAATTCCTAATAGAATCAATCCAATAAGTAGTTCCTTGATTATTATGATTACCAATTAGCAATATCATAGCTTTCATCACCATCTGAACCCCTTTGAAATCGAGGTTAATAGCACTCTTGACTTTCAGAGGCTAATCTTACTATTCCATTCCGGGGTCCATAGGGTGCCCGCAGAGCGGGATTTACTGGGAGCTACTCTTCCGTTTATTAAAATGTACACACCAATTTGATACATAAACGGTTGCAATATCGAGGCAAGGCAGAAAAGTTCTTCAATATATTTTGTAAGCCACGATCTAATTGGGGTCCTCGTTTAAATACTTTCACGGGTTACCCTCTTTAATTCTCCTGCTTATTCTAATTGCAATTTTCAAAGTTTCCATCTTCTTTTATCTCTCGGTGTATCGTGGTGGTCGTTTAAATATCTTGCAGGCTTATCTAAAAGCTTTGTTAATTATTCTGAATTCTACTTTAAACTTGACAGCAACATGCTTCTGCCAGTCCCACCAATTCCTTATGCTCGTTGGCACATTTTCATGGGTTACTCCTAGAGGTTCTCCTATTTAGTCAGAATCAAATTTTTAAGTTTTCCAATCATACACTCTTAGCCCTCGTCGACTTATGGGGCGTTTTTAAATATTTTCTAAAGTCATTCTTAGAGCTGTAATGTTCATTTTAAAGCACTTCGTTCAATCTTTGTTCACTTGTGATGCTGTTTTTAGACATAATTGCGGGCCACGCTCAAAGCTCCCTGTTTATTCTGAATCAAACACCTCTTCTAAACCCCAAAGAGTTGTAAAGTTATTACGCAGTTCTATACATTTGAGGTCCACATATCATATCTTCGTCACAATTAGCTTTTGAAACACTGCAGCAACAAAGCACTTAAGAAATGGAAAGATAGAAAACAGCCAAAGTTTCGTGCATCAGAAATGATTCTTACTCCAACAACAAATTAACAAAATACAATTTACGGACAACAGCTAATCTATATAACTTTAGTCCTTTTCTCCACAGTCAAGAATCACGTCTGGGTCATAATTATTGCTTGAAACGATCTTTGATCTAGATGAAGAACATCACAAATAATTAAGATGTTATTCCATGGTTAATGAAAGCACTTTTTAAGGAAATCCATAGTCATAATGCTTTGTAAAAATTTCAGAAAAAAAGGTTCGCCCCGAGGGTTTAGCCACCCCTTTATGCGACCTGTTTTTAGTGAAATTTCATCGAACTAAGCATAAAATCATTTGAACTTGTTCTTGTGAAGCGAGCAATACAGCAAATCCATCTTCCTTGAAGGACAAAACTACGAAGAGGTAAAACATTAAGAGAAAGGCGCTCGTGGCGGGTCTAGCGACTCCTTTTAGCAACCGGTTTTTAGTGTAATTTCATCAAATTAAGCATAAAGTCATTTGAAATGGTTTCTAGAATAATTGTCACTCAAGAGGCAGGCAAATCCCACCTCATTCTCAGTGGGAAAATCTCACAAAAAGTGAAATTTTAATAGAAAAATACTCACTTGTTGAACCAAAAAGTCAGCGAATCCGATCGTTTATCTATAAAAAAGGAAGGCGGTTAGAAAAAAGTTGCTGCAAAGGATTCTCGATAGGCATAAAAAGTTGGGGGCTGGCGGGATTACATAATTTGCATTACAACGGGTTTCCTATGAAAATCAAATTTTCTTGCATCAAGAATAAACAGCAGGAAAAATCTACCACAATTCTTCATACTTTGATTGCAATAAAGCCAATCCAGTTTCCTTTAAGCACAAAACCACGAGAAGAGGTAAAAAGTTTTCGTTCGCAGCGGGGGTCTAGCAGCCGGTTTTTAGTGTAATTTCATCGAAATGAGCACAAAATCATTTGAAAAAAGTAATATCGAAAACACGTAAGAACAACAACGCTTACTTGTACTCGCATGCCATCGATTCTGATACCAGTGAAGAAGTGGAACAGCCAGCAGCCATTGCAAAACCAAAAAACGGGCAGCAGTGTGCGTAGCTACTAAAACGAAGAAAAGGAAGATCGTCAGAAGCACGAATTACATGGCTCTTGCAAACGAAATAATAACAAACGGGGTTTTAATCGATCGATCGATAAAAAGGAAAGGAAAATGACGGCGAAAAGTTTAGAAAAAGCTAGCGAGACTCACCTGTAGCTGTAGCTGTAGCACTGTAGCACAGAACACGACCGTCGACAACCGCTTCGAGTTCGAAAAGGAATGCCAAGCAGCAGTGCACGTAGATTTATCCAATTCCAAATCACCGAAATTATCGGCAAACAGTAGCTTCTTTGTGGAAAGCAAAACGAATTTGAAAAGCCTCCGTTCAAATTGAAGGGTTGCTGGAGGAAGAAGTTTTGAAACTTTTTGTAGAGAGCAAGAGAAAAGAGAGAGAAAGAACCTTTAGAAACGCGAACGCAAAAGCCAGTATTTTACCCATCAAAGGGAGGGAGGAAATGTTTTGAAAAATCCTTTGAAAAGGTACTCGATCTCTTTCAAAAAAGTTAGGGATGAAAAGGGATATTCGCTTTAGAATCAAAGGTCAAGGTTTTCAATCAACAACTACTGACTGGATGACAATCGACGTTTTCAAAACATCCAGGAAAGCGCTAGAAAAAGTCTTTGAAAAGACAAACAAAGAGAGCGAAGCGTTAGCAAAGAAAATGGCCTCGTTGAGCAAGGCCCATTGAGAGAAGACACGTCGCAAATTCGGAGCGAGGGAAGCGAGCAAACGAAGATTCGAGACCTTTCCACACAATCGCAACCCCAGAGGAACCGAACTACCGAAGCTCAGTTCAAGGGGTGTAGCAGTTTTTGCGGAGTTCGTGCAAAAACTTTCGATGGGAACGGACCGATATCAGATGTAATCGGACCGATATCAACGGAGCGAGCTCATTTGCATATCCGCACATTAGTATTATTGTAGAGACTAGCTCCCCTACGAAGCCCGCTACGCGGGCTTGCCAGTGACCCTACGGTAAAGTACATAGATTAGCCTCGGAAAAGACAAGAATTCTGTCGAAGCCCCCTATAAGTATGCAGATTAGCCTCGGAAAAGACAAGAGGTGTGTCAACCTCGATTTGAAAAAAATTGGCTCCGCACAGGTCACGTGATAAAAAATTACTCGCACTCCTGTGACTATCGCTAGTCAGGGGGTCGCCTGAGATAGAGAAGGGGTAGAGGCTCCCCCCTTCCTAGCGATAGTCACAGGAGGGCGAGTAATTTTTTATCACGTG